GAACTTAAAACCGAAAATAAAAACGGCCAACATCAGTCGGACCCGAGATTCGCCCCAGCCTGGCAACTTCAGCGTTGCGGGGGAACTGTTAGGAAAATGGGGGTGGGGGGTGGGGAAGGGACGCAGGTTCCCGGGGCATGGCCGGCTCCACCTACCTGATCCGGAGCCCGGGCCTCGCAGCCGCAGCCGCGCCAGCCACCGGCAGCAGCGTCTCGCGTCGCTGTCGCCCGGGCTGCGCGCGCGCCGCGTGGTTCCTTTGCATTGCTCTCCGCTCCCGACTCGAACAGCGGAGGGAGCCGAGCGGCAGTTTCGTTCAAACTGTGCCACGCAGCCAGCTGATTGGCGGCACCCAGGGGTGGCCTTGGCTGGGCTGGCTTCTTTTTTTTCCCCCTCTTTCTCGCTCGCTCTCCTTAAATAATTCGATAGGGAGACGTGGACGATTCTCTCGACCACGAGGAATAAAATGAAAGGGGCAGGGGAGCGGGGACGCGATCAGGACCAGAACTCGGGGAGCGTGGCGGTTCCCGGCCGGGGCTGAGTCAGGTGACAGAGGTGGCCGAGGAGGAGGGAGGGGGTGGCGGGCTGCCTGGAGATGCTTTCCAGCGTCCGGCCCCATGGCTGTCACTGCGCAGGGCGCCCGCGCGCGGAGGGTGGAAGGCGGTGGGGAGGGGATGGTGGGGAGGGGTGTGGGGGGGCTCGGATAAGGCGGGAAAGAGGTGATAGGCCCGAGTGCCATGAACCCGGGAAGCTAGGCGCCCTGAGCGCGCCTCACTCCTCACGCGGACGCCCCGCGCAGCCTTTCCCGCGCGCGCTGGGCACTGAGCGGTTTCTGAGGTCTTGCGCTGGGGGGGGGGGGGGAGTGACGGGGAGGAAGGGCGCGCGCCGAGCACGCGGGTGCGCGCTTGCGGGGCGGAGATGGGCGGGGGGCGGCGTGTGGGTCCCAGTTGGCTGCAACTCGTGGGGTAGGGACGGTGCCGCCGAAGGGCGGTGCAGAAGCGGTGGAGCTCAAGCTGGCGTGGGTGACGAGACTATGGTTCGCAGATTTTTGGTGACGGTCCGGATTTGGCGCGCTGGCGGCCCACCGCGAGTGAGGACTTTCGTGGTGCAGGTCCCGCGGTCCGCGGGTGAGGGGGCAGCGCCCAGGGCGCGGGCCGTGGTGGCCCTCCTGTTGATGCTAGCCAGGAGCCAGCGCAGAAGGCGGCAGCCGCATCCTAGAAGACCAGGTAGGAAAGGCCCTCACCACCTCCCGGGCAGAAGGGCACTTGGATGATTTTGTTTGGTGCGATCGAATGCAGACAGGAATCACCTGGAACAAGGTGGAGGTGATTTGGAAGGGAGGACTTGGGGGAGGGGGGCAGATAGAGATGGACACCTTTTCCTTAATGGGAATTAATTACTTCGAGACCCCGATTCTCCCTATACATAGATCGTGGAACCACCCCTCCCCCCCTTCACCAACCTCAACCTTGTGAAACTTCAAGGGAAACCAACAGCTTCTAATCTCACCTCTGAAATACGTGGCTCCTGAATTCCCTAGGTGGAAGTTAGAGCACACGTGTGTGTGTGCGCGCGCACACACACACACCAACACACACACACACACAGTGAGGTATATTTCTAGACCATTTTATGTCGACCTGGGGAAGATTAATACTAACAGTTTTCTACACGCCCACCTCTCTCTCCCTCTCTCTCTTTTTTGTTCACTACTCCACCCTCCTTCCAGGAGTAAGTAGTATGGAGGACACGAGGTAGGGCATGCACGCAATGTGACTTCCTGAAATACGCTCATCAAGGATCATTAAGTTCCACCAGGAGAAAATTGCTTATTTTCAGGGGCTTCTAAAGCCAACAGAAGGTTTTTCTGGATAAAGGAAAGCAGCCGACTCTTGCTGGGCCTAAGCTATAAAAACTGTTGCGGACCCTTGCTCCTATAGTTCATAGATGACTGGGTTACAGTGCTGGCCCTGGGGAATTATACTTGATCATATATTAATCATCTCCCACCACAAATTAACATAACTTTAAAAATGAGGCCTACTTCTTGAAAAATAGAATCTGATAGATTTTTTTTTGTCCTTATACATACTGGACTCATCTTTACTCGGTTGTGTGATTTCCTCTCACCAGAAAAATTGAAACATATATAGAGTTATAAAATGCAGAATCACAATTACAACTTAGATGCTGAGTATTAAAATATTAAGGCCTCATTTTGGTAACCTTTCTTAGTGGCATCACTTCCTTGAGAACACACAGCTCCAAAAAACAAAGGCCGGTGGAGGAAGACATGTTTTTATAGCACCATTAATTGTCTTGATGTGGAAAGGCAAACCAGTTAAAACTATGCGGGGGGGGGGGGGGGGGG